GATTATGTATCCTCGGGGGGATAACTGCTCCAAGATTTGCTTCAGATCAGATAAAACAAATGAACAAATGCTATGAATACCTTGCAGGTGTATTTTTCCCAACAAAATCCCACAAATTCAAACATGACATCTTCATTTTAAACCCAGCTTTTTCGTCACCCTTCGGTGAACTTTCCAGCCGGAGAAAACGACTGCTACAAATGCTGCACTTGACTTTCTCCACCATGATACTGTAATTTATAAACACTGTTTTCAGGTCACCAAGTTCTGCTAGAAGAGAACTAAGAAACAACTAGGGGGATATTTCATCCTTGACCATTGACCTCCGTGCATACCAAATCTCACATCTTTGGGTTGCTCGATTCATATCGCGAATGATCCCTCACATCGGCCCTATCCTAAGCCCGCCCTCGTCTCTCACCAACTCGCCTCCGCATCAGTTCACATCAAGTGACGCGGTGTATGGCCGCATACACAGATACTGATAACCGCGTTTCGTGTTGAGCACACTTAACACGTAGCAGGCCCTTGTTTAAGTGCCCTGCGCGCGCTCCGTGTGGGCTGGTGCGGGAAGATCTCAGCGCAAATCGCGTTTTCGCTGTGCTCTGCGACTGCCCTGCTCTTGTAGGGGGTAATTTGGTAAACTTCAGAAGGCAAGGGAAATCCAGAGTGGATTGGAAAGGATTGGAAACAAATTACTGGAAGGTGGGAAACGTTGACATGTGCCTCTGCCGTCATGAATGCTGTTTTGGGTACAAAGCTTTTACGTGCGTGATTTATTTCACATTCCCTTTTCGTTTGCGTTACTCTTTTTGTACTTTGCCCAATGTTGAGTGAAATTTCTCTTAACTGCGCCCAACTTAAAGCTCCAAGGACAATCTAGTCGCCTTTGTGTGAAAGGGTGAGACTGAAAACTTGATAAAAATCGCCTTCACGTCTCGGGACTTGTCTTTGAGCAAAATCCGAGGGGTGGCTCTGGGTGGGAGTGATGATGAATCAGCAATTGCCAGGGCGTGCATCTTTTCTCCAACCCTTCCGATTCTCAACAAACACAAGGGGAACGATGTGGATACTATTAATTCATCGTAATACTTCCCAACTATTGTTCAGATGTCATCGGGTGTCGGGGAGGGGGGAGATATTTCCCCACTTCTTTTCACATCCCAAGATCAGCGAAACGGGGAGAATTCTGCCATCTGTAAGGAAAAGAATCCAAAGTCTGATGTTTAATATGCATTAGCTGTTATACAGGACGCGTATAATGGACAAACGTTCGGTAACTTCAGAGGGGATGTGCGATCGATCCGGCATTACGCCTACACAGAAGAAGTTTTCAACAACCACTTGAAAACTTACCCCCACCACCACCAGAACCTTGCCCGATGTCAAGATAAAAAAAGTGCAAAATCATGCAACCAATGCAGAAAGACTCTGTTCAATCGCTGTAGGTGGCAGATCACCACATAAAAGACCAGTAATGCATCAGCTGAACGCACTTCCATGCCAGATGCAGCGGGGATGCCAAAATTATTCGACGTTGAATTGACATGCGGTGCAAAAGCGGGTACGAGAAATATTGATACGCCTTGCGGACCTCAAAATAGACAGATTCAACATTAACTCCTCTTTATCATAAGAAGTGTAACACTTGATGACCTGCATATTTAACAACTTTTTGTTCGGTATAAAGTCTTCATATTGTGAGCACTGTCGATCCTCGAATCAGCACGAAAACAGCCATTCTTAGGCCTTCCTATCAGAGAGAATTTCGGCCCAGTGCATGCCCTTGGTATGTAGGTGGAATTTAATCTAGAACGAGCGAGTTAATCAAGTCAAGACAGAAAAACGACTCCTATCACACAGAATCTGAAATCTTCCCACCCCTCTGATTTATTTCGCCCTGTTTTTTTCCATGCAATCTTTGGCATGCGTACTCATTACAAGAACCACTTTTGTTCATGTAGTCTAGATTTCATACAATACGATCTTTTACTTAACTCCTACACCGTAAACTTCGTGCATGGCACACAGACATGTTTGTCACTCGCGACACAAAAACAACACCCAAAAGTTCCTGACAATATGTCAGGGAGAGAAAATGAGGTTAAGATCGGTGTCGTTTACTCGCCAAGCTTAGGATGTAAACACAAAGGATGAAGGGGAAAAACAGTCAAACGGAACAATTAACGCAACCCAAATACCCATGACGCTGATTTCCACAAAGAAAACAATACGGCAGCGGGCAGAAAGGAAAATTTTCGAAGGGCGTGAAAGACAGACACCGGGTTAGAGGGAAACAGCATCGACCGTCTGGTAGCGCAAGCATCTTCCGTCGGCAGCACGGCACAATGAAGGGATTTGTCCCGGCACGTGCGCGCCGCCATGTTGGCTTTCGCGTGCTAGCGCTTCAGAATTAGGTCGGCCTTGTAACGATACGGGTTGGACACAAAAAACTGACAAAATGAAGAAAAGGAAGGAATGGTAATAACCTCATGAACGACAGCTTTTCAGGATATTGTTCTCCTCATCAACATTTGCTTCGAAATCATTTCTCTTCTTTTATTATTTTCTTTATTGCTTAGTTTAAAAAAGAAAACGATTAGCAACTTATGAGCCAGGTGCTAAACCAATCGTTGTTATAATTTCTGATCTGTCAAATAATAAAAGTTTAATCAAAGGCTATGACAAATAATGTCTGAGGTTTTGACTAATAAATGAAAAGACCGAAATGGGATCAAAAGATCCTATTGTGAGTTCTGAAATAATGCAATACATATAACATAAGAATCAAAGATATGACGGTGAAAAACATAGATGGCTAAGCACCCTCTAAACTTGCAGATTTGTCCCGTAAAGGACCACTGCAGAATTTCCTTTTGTCACTTTTGTCAGATTTCATCGGTACAAGAGACCCATCTCACAGCACTCTCCCACCGTATCGCGACTTCGGTAGTCGCGAGAGGGCGTCGCTTCTTTCTTTGGGCATCCCGAAATGCTTTGTTTGCATAAGTTCCACAAGCATTTCTGTTTAGTGCTCAATTTTGGAACATTTTGGAAATCAGGTTGTTGCAAACAAAAGTATAGGAATTAGGGATAGATCTTTTTCAGTTCAGGTTTCATGTGTAGAATACTAATGCTCCTCCCTCCATTCATTGTGAAATGCCAACATTTTTACTGTTTAATCAATTTCACGCTGTTTCCCTGCTAGCCCCTCGACTAAGTTTCACTTCAATTGTCGAGTTCAGGTGGCCTGTGTTGACATAGGTTTCTTGTTCCCGCGTTCGAGCGACGGGAACATGACCCAAGAACACTGTTCTCGGAACAGCATCACACGCACCACCTCTCCTCAGGGTTTTTCACGAACACCGGAAAACCTCGTGATTTTTATTTAATTTTTGAACAGCCGCAAAAAGAGCGAGATGGCTTTCAAAGCCAGAGACAATGGAATGTTTTGCAAACGAATGTTCCTTTATAAATAGAACAGAATTCAGTTCAGTTGTCCAAACATTAACCCTCGAAAAACGTACGTGAAAGTAGCCAAGTTGCCAATTGCTTGCCACTTACTAGCAGCGATGACCAGTTGTACGTTCCCGGCTACGAGCAACCGACCAATGAACAAAAAATCGAGCTGTCAATGAACACACGAGAACAAGCAGCCGTAACTCGGCCTCAGAGACCAGGCAAACTTACCGCCAGCAGATGGCGCTGTTTCAATCGCGCTGCACCACCTACATCCCACATGAAACAGAGTACGTTGCTATGATGGACGCCGTTCGCATTATTGTGTCGTAGATTAACATTTATGACGTTTACTCATTCCTAAAATTAAACTTCTGGTAAAGATTACCTTCCACGACGCTTCTTGACGCCTTCTAATAATAAAATAGAGATTCAAGATCCCCTCCCTTTTTAAGTTGGGGACACCTTTCCCGCAATCAAACAGCCCTAGGTTGCATCTTAAATTATGATGAGCCGCTTTTCGCTCTTGATACGTGGGCCATTTCGCCAGGAAAACCAGACTGAAAAGGTCTAACCCCCAAATGAATGGATATCATGTAGATTCACCCATGGACTGATTCGGGAAAGGTAAAGTCAAGTTGCACTCTTCAAACAACTCCAGGGGGCGCTGGGGGGAAGGACTTGTTCATCCGTGCGGTTTTCAATTCGCCACGAAATCCACGCCTTGCCGATCGGGGCTCAGTGGCCGAGTTTTCACCCCGGGTGACGATCTACCAATTGCATTCGGGACCCGTCATCTTTTCACTCAAGTATCGTTTATCCTCTCATTTTTGTTCCCATTAGTAAAATTGGCCTGAAATTGTTCCGAGGAGTTAAGTGCCCTACGCGGCTGTCCATTAAATGCAAAGGGGGATGGTTCCTCGTACTAGCTGAATCACATGTGTGATGATGGCCTATTGTAATACCCCAGGGGAAGATTTAATACACTGATGAGGTTTAAAATGGAAAATAAGAGCATGATAGATCGCAGCGTGGAAGTGATCAAAACCTCCATTTGTTTGAGGTGCCACTTTGTAAGACAAAAAACAAATATATTGCTGCTGACCGTATTAAGAGTTTTATTGAAGTATACCCTCGTCCGATTCGAGTATGTTGTGGCTCCGGCTACGTAGGCGTGGTACTGCGTACAGCGTAGCCGTAGGCAGTGATACTTTGTGTCGCACACGACCTGCTGGAACTTCCACGTTTAGCTCAGCGGAGAGCTGTATAAAGAGAGAGTTGCGATATGAGTGTCTTAATTTTTGCAACCAATTAATGGTGGGTTATGCATGAGTGCACACGGACCATGAGAACACAATAGCTGCATTCTGTACACACACATAATGAAACGCCGTTTGGGTTCCAAAGTCTGAAGTTGCCACTTTTCTCTATGGGCCTATGTACGGCTCTGATTCAGTGGCAACTGAAGCTCCCCCTGTGCGTATTTGTTTTCATGTTTGCATGAACAAATGTCACGTGAAACTTGTTTTCCTGGTAGAGCTGTCAGGCTCAAATGTAAGCAGAGAAGGAGAAAGCATATCTAGCAAAGTTTAGTCGCCAAGTTCATCATGGCAGTGTGACTTCTTCTGCTTGTTAGTGGCTCTTCGGTAAGTTTGCTTGCAACACGATTCATCGCCAAGAGTTTTTTGTTTTGTACTTTTGGTTTTTTCATAAATCTTTCACTTATTTGTGGTTGTCGTCAAGTTCATCTGTTTTCCTAGGACACACGTTAACAAAGCCGTTTCGTCTGTCTTTTGGTTTACAGATCTAATCTGGAGTTCTAAAAGCTTTCCATTTTTGTCGATCTCAACCCATGTAATTTTCATAATAGTGGGAGAAAATTTTATTCTTTCAGTTGAAATATGGATCTTGGCCGCAGGCTGGTCAGTTGAGTTAACACCAGGTCGAGTTAAACAACGTGTTCAATATCAAGCCACTGGTAACGGTGCTGCGGTCCTTGTTTATTGCCTGGGCAAACGGCTGAAGTGGGGCGGCTTTCTGCGGCGAGCGTGTGCCGGCGCACGCCCGCCGGCCACCAGTCGACTTTGTACCGCCGCACGACCTTTGTCCTTCCTTCCCTTTTGCAAGTTTGTCTGCTTAGCGCCACCACGTGATCATTACAAGACAGTACCGTGGACCGCGGACCGCATTGCAGTCATGAAAATGATCACAGCGACCTCTTGCGAGGATACAGTCTTGTTTGGAAGTAGTTCCCTGCCCAAAGATTCCCTGACGACTCTTGATAAAAATAATCCTTTTGGTGAGGCATCACCAACTAATATAAATAGATATGACGCAAGAGTCAGGGGTCACAAGTTGAGGGCCCGGGTGTTTTCAATTCATCAGTGGCAACATCTCAAAAATGGGGCTTTTCCCATATCCAGTGGGCAATATTGCAAGTGTATCCCAACTGAGAGAATGTTTCAAGCTCAAAGCCTGCATTGGTCGAAGAAAGTTATACTCTGCATTTCAGAAGAATTTCTCCAGTCTTGGTCACGTGGACATTGGGCGATACCGAACCCTTGAGTCGTTGAGTAGTCAGAATCATCGGGTCTGGTATCCAGACTTTTTTGGAAATTAAAGTAGTGCATTTATTTGTCTGTGGCCTTTATGCGCGTCAACAGATGCTCGCTCCAGGCGTTGTGTATTATATTATTTATTTATGTATCCCCTCAACACATACGTATGTTATGTTAGTGGAGGCAAATTTTATGTCCGTGAAAGTGAAATGCATGAACGCACCGAGTACGCAATGCACACATTTTATAAAGGCGCCTTCAAGAAAGCATGGCAAATATCGGAATTGAACAATGCGTCAGCTTGGCAGAGTCACCGAAACTTCGGCCACATTCGAATTATGGGGTTAAGGTATGAATTAACACAGCTGAGAAATGCACGACTCCATCAACCTTATAGCTTCTGTGAGTGTGTGTGTAATGTCGTAGTCGTAGCCAAATACATGAAAGTCGCTTGTGGCTTTTGAGGCCGTACCCCGTAACGATCTTTTCCTGCAGGCCCATGCGCAGTGCGTGAAGGCGGTCATCCCTGCTGATTTCTCATCCACTTTTCTTACGTCGATGACATCTTAAACAAAGCGATCACTTAAGACAAACAAACAAATCCTGTCGCGAAGTGCTCAGAATTTGAAACAATCCTAGAGTTTGGGGCTCTGCACAATGACAGATGGATTACTGTCCTCCGATTGCCCAGAAAAGCTGCTTTTTGACCAGATTACCAGACCTTAATTGCTGGGGATTATGCGGTTTGGAGCACAGGGATAGCTTGATCCGCGATTGCCTATGGCAGCGGAGATTGACAGTCTCAAGTGGGGAGGGTGTGAACGGACGGCCGGCAGGGGCTGGCGCCTGGCATGGTGCTGTGGCGAACCGGGGGCTAAGTGATTCATTCTCGATATGTATCTTCTTTGTCTCCTCCCACCCTTGTTCTCAAAGACAGATGTCGTTGATGGCAGCTGAATGGTGAGGTGTCTTTTGAGTCTGAGAAGAAATGTGCAGTTTTTTCTTTCATACCTACATAAATACACATTTTTAAAGAGACTGCGGAATTTCTTTTCGTCCTTGGGTCGTAGATATGGATTTCTTGAGACGAAGATTCATCGGGGTTCAGTGTTTGTGATATGGAAGGTTAAAACATAGCGATGCACAACCAGACCACAGTGGCCTAAAAAGGGTAGTCGTAAAAAAAGGAGAATATCTTTCGTAAGTGTTTGTAGGTACACAGGCTTGATAAAACCAGGGCAGGCAAAGAAACATTTGGAAATTCATTCGAAAAACGCATCTTATCAACATCGTCATAATCGAAAACTGAAGTCTGTTCTGAGCCATTAGGCTCATCAGGCCGATATTTCTCTCCAGTTTGAAATGACTGAGAATATGTCTATTTCCCCCACAGGATTCCAGTCCGTTGTAGGTTGCTTCCCAGCTAATGCCGGTACCCATTAATATTTATAGCTCGGGGGAGAGAGGCAGGAAGGGTTAAGTGGATTGCTCAAGGCCATGATAGCTTATGGCCAGCAGCTGGATTCGAACCCCTTACCCACTGGTCAGACGTCACAAACCTTAACCCTTTGGTTCACCACACCTCATCATCGAAACGGAAACTCTTCTTTTGTGTTTTGTGCAAAAATCTCCTCTCAGACACGTTTACTTTAAGTTATTTTCCTATAATATTATTTCAGTTCAGTTCTTTTATTTCCTCAGTGTTCCCAAAAGATAAAGCCATACCTAAAAATTATTTAACAAAGGAGTGAAAACTGCAGAGAAGCCCAAAAGAGGCAAAGCTTCATTGGCATTTTTATGTTATTGTAGTTTTTATTTTTGCCTGTGTGTGTGTGTATCCTGGTGTGTCTTTGCGCGGTCCTCAGAGTAAGTTGGTCATTCGTCATTGGCTCGGTAATGGAAACTTAAGTGCAATGAAAGGGGGCCATGAAAGTTATACTCGCTTAATGGAAAACTACGCAGACTAAAAAAATTGAAAAGATAACACACACTTCTGGATGTCTTCAGAAAGTCTGAAAGTCTCAGGATTAAATACCCCACTCATCTTGCCAGTAAGAAGTGTCTGGATGTACAAGTAGGAATTTTTAGCGATATGAATGTTCAATAGTGTTTGGGTATTACAGTCCAAAGTGTTGCCCGAGAGGCAAAACTGACTGAGAGGCTGGTTGGTTTGGCTTTTTCAGCTTGATCGTTTGTCACTTTTGCAACTGCAAAGAGCGAAAATCTGGAAATGAACTCCTTTAAACATCATGAATGTCTTACCCCTCAACACTGCCGATCATTTTATTTGCTTGTCTTTCACTAAACAATCAACGATATCCAACTGCTCAAACTCTATACTTAATCCCATGTTAATCTCCATAAGTCAGGGTTGCTAATCCCTTCATCGAGACGCCCTCTTGTGGCGGACAATAGAAGCGGTTTGGTGGTTTGTTGTATGGGCGTCGACTGGCTATAAGTCCACCCGTCAGTCACGGAAGATTGGCAGGTGGTAACCATTCACCCGCCCCCAGGACGCGACAAACAAACCCAGCCCCATTCATAATCTATTTCGCTTGTCCACTTTTTTTGGGTGCGATCTACACAGTTTATTGCTCGTTTCTTAATTAAAACCTGTTTTTAATTGCGGTATACGAACAGACATGCTCCAAAACACCAGGAGAATAATTCACCACATACTTAAGCACTTTAGCAAGTATTATCGAGACGTTTTCTTGTCACGATCTACCACCTCATTTTTCCATGTAAAGTTAAAAAGATCTTGTATTTGGAAAGTCTCGCTAATTCAAAACACTCAAAGAATCAGCGTCTGTTTTTGTTTGTTTCTTTGTTTTTGTTTTGTTTTTAGTAATTACGAATAAGAAAAGAACATAAAAGTAGACAAAGACAAGAAACGATGGTATGTTAATTCGGCAAAATTCAGGTTGCCCCCTGCAATAGTCAAAATTCTCTCCATAAAAGTCGTCAGTTCAAATCACACACTAAGGCTTAGAAATAGCCGATTCCTCAGTACATGTGGACCGGATTGCGGAATCGCCAGGCCACGCAGGCTTTCGTAAGCCCACGACCCGCAACAATATAATGATGGTCAGGTCCCAGACACATGACTTTACACGAGACGAGCACCATGTGCACGTCTCCCATCCATTACCGGAGGACGACGCGCGGTAACACGGACAGAGAGGCTCGTCAGCGGGCCGGGTTTACGAGATAGGAGGAGCAGTACGTGAGAAGCTGCCCGCTGTCCATTGTCCCGGCTTCCGCCAGCGAACCTCTCTCCTTCTTATTACTCTCCGCGTGATGCACACATTTCGTCAACAATCAAATCATCAGCCTATGTACAAACTTAATGAAGCAAAGATAATGTTGAAAGCTAGATTGACGCAAGGGGGAATCAGTAAAAGGGTTGAGAACAGAACCCCTGATTGCGTTCCTGACTTGTATATGCTGTCAGAAATTTCCTCATAAACAGTATGCCGTGTATATGATATTCAGCGCTGACGTTAGTTTGTCCAGAACCATCTCTTGTGCAGATATTGGAGTGGCAGGTTGCGACAACTATATCCGCTCTGAGCGCGAGCAAGAACCCACTTGTAACCACCTGTCTCTCTTTCGCCGCTTGGGGGTGCACGTCAGCTCGGGGCGGATAAGCCTTTACAGGAAATTCTGCAAGGGTGGAAACAAGCTTTTAACGGAGAATAGAATATTTTTTCAGGTCCCTCTATCTAATAAGAAGTTTGTAGCAGTTTTGTTGTTGTATGTGTGTTGTTCATTTTCATAAAACGTCTTCAATGGGCTTACAATCATGTTTCATATTTATCACAATTATATGAATTGCATTTTTCGAAGCAAGTCAAAAACTGTAGCAGATTTACGTATAACGTTGATTTACGTATTAACGTTGGCAATCGGAATGAATGAGATACAGAGTGGATGTTTTTCGGATCTCCACATTTTTTAACAGTGGATTTTCGAGGCCCCTCGGTCTCAGTAACCCTCAAAGTGCAATTTCTTAAAACTATCATTTGAATAATAAAATTCTAAATTGTTACATCGCTTCGCAGGACCCTGTTATGCCCTACTTCTAACTTTGAATTTTCATGCTGTTTCTTCTTTTTGAGTTATATTATGTATAAGCCAGGTTGTGGATCTATTCCTTCAGGCTGCAAAATTCACTTTTGTGGTCCTTGTGCTGTGCCCATGCTAAGAAGAACTGATTTTAAAGACAGTGGTTCTGTAATTGAAGGTACACATCCGTGATTCAATATTTTTTACGGTCCACGTTCGTTTTTCAAAATTTGAGCTCGTGATATACCACTTTTTCTCGCTTGATTTCTCATTTCATAAAGAAAAGATGACAGTTTGACTGACTTGAGAATAGTGTTAACGACATTGGCATGTTCGTTACAAGAATCGCTAATTGACCAAACCCGACACAATACCAGCAATGATTGGCATCCACTGATCATCCATGGTATTCACCCAGTAATGATGTGTTGATGTCGTTCCCAATAACCTTATTGTTGGCGGACAATCGGCTGGATCTGGGCTTCCTGCCTCCAATTAAGAGGGGGGAACAATACGTGGCTACCAGTCACGATCGGAGCAATGAAAGATAGTGGGACTGGGTTCTACCAAACTCTCAAGACCAAGGCGTTCCGAGAAATCGCTCACAATAGGGTGGTTATCGAAGTTCTCCACCCAAGCCGTCCCCCACGGTGGTGAGTGACGTGAGGCTGTTTTCTTTTTTAAAGAAAATCCAGTAAAAACCACTTGGTAGTTCCGGGGGGCATCACTTCAGATTTGACCACCTTGGAGAGGACATCAACATCATTGAGAGCCTTACGACCATGACCCTGTTCACCATCGACAAGCTCACCGAGAAGGACGCGCCAAGACCGGCAGCCTACCGCGTCCGACGGTTCCAGCCCTACCACCCGTGCCCGACCGTCAGCGATGCTGCTGCGGCCGGCTACCCCGGATACCTCGGCGTTTCAACCGCTCCTAATCCAGTGCCAGCTGCCGATACCGGCGCCGATCACCGGCGGGACGAGTGCCTCAACTCTACCGGGGGGAGCCCGTCCATCAGCCCGGGGGCTTTCAGCGCGGCGAGCAGCGATGCCGGGTTGCCTGAACCAGACCCCGCTCCGTGTAAAGTTGACCAGAAGGATAAACAAAAATCAGGTACGAAATAAGTTTATGACGATCTTTCACCAGACAACCAAAACATGGAATTTAAGTTAAATTTTAATTCCTGGAAGTGGTATTTAAGACCCAAACTAAGGCATGGTACAAATAAAATTTTTTAAAAAGCCATAAAATAATGTTCAGGTTTACATCAATCTTCCGTAAAATAAATTAAATCAACTTGCATTCACACAAGAAAGATGTGATACACATGAACACGTGAAAGCATTTTCGAGTTTCATGTCGGATGTTCAAGAACATAATGTTTGTCTGAAAAGACCACTACACTGAAACTCAGCGATACGTTCATTGTAGTGTACTTTAGGGACGAGCGCCGGCGCAAAAGTGCTGGAGTTACGTCACGATGAAAGCTATTCATTGTTTTGTACAGCAGTTTTCCTTGGTTCTTAGTCTATTATCTCTCCGTTCTCCAGACTCCGGAACCGTTTAGCTTTAGAAAAACCGTTCTGAGGACAAAATAGGGAAATTTCTTCCATAATATATAATTTATACTTCGATAAGATCGATGAGAAATGTTTCTGATAGGAATCTTCTCTTCCTTTTTGGTCTGTAGACGAACATCAGAAGCCTCCTCATTCTTACATCGCTCTCATTGCCATGGCAATCCTTGCCTCCAAGGAGAAGCGCCTCCTCCTCTGTGACATCTACCAGTACATCCAGGAGAAGTTTCCCTACTACCGCAACAACGACAGAAGTTGGCGCAACAGCATCCGCCACAACCTCTCCCTCAACGAGTGCTTCATCAAGTACGGCCGCAGCGGCGACGGCCGGGGCAATTTCTGGGCCATCCACCCAGCCAACGTGGAGGACTTTTCCCGGGGCGACTTCCACCGTCGTCGCGCCCGCCGGCGGGTTCGGGCAAGCGAGGTGATGCTCCACGGCTACCCGATGTACCACCCCTACGCCGCCTCTGCCGCTTACCCGCTGCCCGTGGCCACCACCCCGCTCGGCTTTGTGCCCATGACAGTGACAACCCTGCCACCGTACCCTCACCCAGTCTCTCCCGCCGTGTATCCATCCATCAGTTCTCCGTACCCATCAACAATGAGCTACCCGGTGCCCACCTTAAATCCTCTCCCTCCTCTGAGCACTTCCATTGCACCCTCCACGAGCCCGGTCTCCAGCCATCGGGATTCACCGCTGGAACCTACTGTTACCGGCACATCCTCACCGGATCAAGTCCCACCAACTTGTGAGTCCATCTCCATTAATGTCCCATCCAATTCATCTGCCAAGCTGGGCTACCAAGGCTACCCCTCTACTCCAAACCAGACCTTCTTCCACTACAGTTCTCCCGTTTCCAGGGACTCAACCCGCAACAGATACCCATCAACTATCATGGGACTTCCCCAAGCTCCTGTGTACGGATACCCCTCTGCTCCTCAGGCTGTTATAACGAGTTCGATGGGCAGTTACCAGACTGACTCTTCCATGCCTCGCTTTCTGCACTAGATGAACTCGAATCCTCCGGCATTTAGGCTTGCCTGATCATTAGTTTGGAGTCATCTGCAAGCTTCTTTTGGAAGAGACATCTTGAAATTCGCCACCCAGTTGCATTCTGTATAATGCAAGTATGAAGACCGAAATGTTTCTTTTGAGTTTAACTTTGCAAATCCTTACAGGTTTTGCATTGGATTTTTGTACTCCGATGATTTAATTTTTGTATTATTGTGTTTGTATAATTGCTTTGAGAAAGCTCTAGATTTTGACAGTTTAATCGAATTTTGATCATCATAAATTGTTGTAAGTAAATGTTTTTTTATTTAGATGATTGGTCACAATGACCTGCGATGTTACCCCGCTATTAATTCTTCTCTCAGAGACAGCATGCTTTAGACCAGGCATGAGGGCGCTGTTTTGGTTACCGTTATTGAGTTGGTTATGTACGAGATTTCGAAACTGCAATAACAATGGTATAAGTTACATTGCAGAATATGACTTCGTTATATTTCATTTCTGTGCTTCAATTTTTCTTATTCCCTTTAAATTTAAAGCTTTTTTACCGGGGGGGATTGTACAAAAAAATTCTTGGATATGTGGTTATGTTTGGGTCAATAATTACATTATCTCAACAAAATTCACGACCAATTATTACTCGGAAATTATACATATAATTTACCTTAACATATGGTCCTTGTGCCAGGCTACGTAGGCCTACATTTGAATGGTAGAAGTTCTGTACCCAAAACTTCACACTATTCCCTGGTCATCCCTGGAAAACAAATATTTAATATTCGTATCCCTAGAAGACAAATACTTGAAGTACATGTACATAGAGTGTATTCCGAAAATACTGCCCTCAAATCTTGGTTACCTTTTCAAGCAATACCCCGCAATCCCTTCTACGAAATTAATGCTTAAGGACCGTTTTCTGTTGTGAATTTAAATTTCAAATCATTTAGCGGTTTAACTGTTAATGTATTTGGATTCGATCCCCGGCGGACAGCGCCAATACGGGACCAGCAAGGCCATGGCAGGGCAGCAGTTTTCAGTATCGATTATGTGGTCAAATAGATTCCGTTTTATAGCCACAGGCAAAAAAAAAAAAAAAAAAACTCTGACTCCCCTGTGCCACTTTGGCAGGATCGATATTTGAACATTTTTTACCGAGTGCACTTAGTGTAAGGGTTAAACTCAAGAACACTGGTGGGTCGAGCCGACGAAATTTGAGCATTGTGAGGGGCCCCATACAAGTAAGGGGTGCAACGCGCTGGCCATGCCCCCTCCCCCAAAAGAGCCATTTGTCTGCTCCATTTCCTTTCCTTCAAAAGTGTGTGAAAGTCCCCAAATGTAAGCCTCATATCTCTGAAAGGCAATATAAGGTAACAGGAAAAAATTTCCAAATTTTTGGCTTCCCAAAACAAGCCCCCCCCCAAAAAAAATTTAAACTTGGATCCACCATTGGGCCCGTTTACTCATCCGCATGAATGAAAATATCCGTCTCCCTATAAAACTAGATATCAGTTGAAAGAAGAATAAGTAAGTGGATTGTTTCTTTTGGATTTGTTTAGCATAAAAAGTTGCTAAGCGCAGTAACCTTATAGCAGAGGTATCGGCCTAAAAGCATCATTGATGTAAATGATGTTGCTTTTTCTCAGAAAAAATGCCCTGCTCGTTTTTGATCTTTTGTTGTTGTGGTTGGGGGGTGTTTCAAAGGGGTGTGTTTCTTTCATTCCTAAATAGTTCTTTATTGTTGATTTTGCACATTCGTGTATTAGAGCTGCTCATTGACTAAGGCGGGCACGAAGCTACTGCGGCCCTTCTTCTGACGGTCTGTCATACGTCAGTAGACGAAAAGTTCCAGCTAAAAGATTGTTAATCGACTGATTTAATCAGCGCAACGTGTGTGTAATACAAGAGACGCTAATCTTTGTATTGATAACAGTGATGTACAAGCCGATTCGATAAAATTAATTATGCTATCATCTTTGCTAATGGTTCGGGCTTAATCCTATGTTACTGTATACAGTGGCGTAGCTAATACCAGTGGGGGTACAAAGGGGGCACCATCATCTAAGTTATGGGGGCACCAGCTTTCAGTGGTATGGTTTTTGGGGGGCAAGTTTTTGTTAGCTTTGTTCAATATCCATTCATCCGTTTTTTTCAGTGTGGGGGAGGGGGCACCGGAAATTCGTGGGGAGGGGGTGTTCCCCTAGACCCCCCGTGGCTACGCCACTGACTGTGTATTTCATGACTCGTATTTCAATCTGGCCGTTGCTGCACTCTCCGCATGCGAGAATCGCAACTTCTCTTCAAATGATTATCAACACTATACCAGCCAATGATAATAGCCAAGGATCAAAATTCAATGAACTTTGTCCTTTTTGCTGCCGAAGTGTTGCCGTAATGTAAACGACGGCGTGTAAACAGACACCCGTTTTATACGAGGTCAATTTTGTTCATATAAACTCATCGCCCAAGTGGGCTTCTTCTTGTTTACAATAAACCCTTTCATACTTCAAAGCCCACTGCGACCAATACTCTATTCTCTGCACAGTGTGCCCTGGGAATTGGGCGCTTAGCGGCGCGCCCAAGCACAATATCGTAGATAGATATTCAGTCGTACTAGATGCTCCACATCGGTCACAGAGAGGAACATGGCTGAAAGACTACGTCGAGATCCCCTCCCCCCTCAGTGGTCCTATGGAGTCAAATCGGACGGCAGGATCTTCTTCATCAAGTGAGTATCTTCTTTTACCCCCAGACCACACTTGGGCCACTTTCTGAGCCGGTTTGCCCCGTGCTAGCGGACTCTTCTAACCAATTTTGTGTCCGCCTTTTTGCAGTGAGGAGACCCGATCGACCACCTGGCTGCACCCGGTAACTGGCAAGGCGATCTCGACTGGCTATAGTGATCGTGACGGTGAGTATCAACAGACCCCGGCCCCCCAAACCATTCATCTCGATGACTTCCTGGTCGGAAGCGATCACTTGTTTCCATTACCAGGGAAGGATCGGGGGTTTTAAGTGAACGATCCTTCGTGTGCTGTTATCGAGAAAAGCTGTCATTGTCAGGGAAGTGGAGAAAAAAATCAGAATTTTTGGGCTATTTGGATTTGGTGGCCATCATGGACGAGGCCCACTACGATTGTCATGATTGTACTGCCTGTCAGTGCAGTAGGCCATGCGTAATGTGCATTGTGTGAGATCCATTCATCCAGGCAGGTCTTGTACAAGTGATGATGCATGCTGAATGGGTTGGGGCCTTGAAAGGTTTTGAAAGCAGTGCCCTCAGTTGTGTGGAGTAGTGTGTGGGAAAAACAATTGTTATCAAATATCAGTAAAAACATCACCTGGCTTCACCACTCAGTCTACATGGTCCAAGCATTAAAGCCAGTCTTCATGTTTTTATGCGTACTGGTACATATATCATGACACATTGATAGATCTTCAAAATCTTCACAAACCTGTTGTGTTGGTAGTCTGAGTAACTAGAACTCTGTAAATAGAAGGGCCGATCATGTCCAGCCGTTAAAAAAAAGGTGATTTTTGAGTCCTGGTTTCTAGCAAGCGTGGGAATTTATGTTTAATTTTAAAATTTTTCAGAAAACTTTCCCATACCATTTAAACATGTAAATGCCCCACCCTTATCATGGTGTCATCGAAAACTTCAAACACAACAAATTGGATACTATGTAAATAGTTGACGCAAAGTTCTGGTGATGAATTCATGGTGTTCCTTTGATATGACGGAGCAGTTAAGTGTTTTGAAAATCAGATTACATTTTACAGACAATGGAAATGAATGCCACATTGCGTAGATTAAACCGTAAAACCTCTAAAAGGTGTGGTTCTGGTTAAACATTTGGGAAAATCTGAAAACGGATTTGAAATTTTTTTTTCATTTAAACGTGTAAACGTCCCACCCTTAGTTACTAGGACTATTGTGACAATGGATTTTAATGAATTTGGGAAAGTGTTGGGTTGAGTGCCACGTTCACATGTACACCCAAAAACTCCCTTCACTGCAACCCTAAAACCAAAAGTGAAAGAGTGGAAAATGTACAGAATTCTCAGCTTCACTTCTTGAAATCATCCACCCATATGTTCCGTACATGTACAATACATTCCTGTTTATATCGGCTCTGAGCAGAACAAAAGAGGGCATGTTTTTTTGGTACTCACCACATAGGCGCGCCATGAGGCGCGCAAGTATACGCATTTGAGGGGGAGCACACTGAGTACGCTTATCTAATTTACCCCAGCATGTATGGTCTTTGTGTACACACAGAATGCTTGCAAGAACCCGCTTGTAACCACATGTCTTTCTTTCGCCGATTGGGGTGCTCTTCAGCTCGGGGCGGATGGACTGATAAAATTCTACCTGGGTCATTCCATGAGGTTGGGGCACAGTTTGTGACTGTCAGTTGTTACATGGGTTCCGTAAAAATGAATAGCTATTTCCCTGCATGTGGATTCCAAATTGGCATTGTTGTACATCATGCAAGGCTTGAATAAAGAGGTGTGTGTTATTTTTACAGAGTAAATGACCTACCCTACCCTACAGGTCATGACAGATGGTAAAAGTTGCAGATGTACCGGTAACAAGTGACACCCGTCATAAATTTTGCCCCAACCTCATGGAATGACCCAGCTACATGTAGGCCTATTTGTTGTGGCACTTCAAAAGTGGCCGGTACTCAGTAAATGAGTGTAGAAAACTGAACAAATTAAGATGATCTCCAATGAAAAAACTAGAAATGTTTTGACTAAATTGAATGGATTTTAAATCAGTGGATGTGCAGAATATCTGAAGCAAGTGAAGTTTGTTTAGGACAAAATTAGGACAAAGGTTATAAAAAGGACCTATCGCATCTTTTGCTTTAGTCGAGTTTGTAATTGGAGATCTTACGCAAACGTTTTCATTCAGCTCAACCTGTCCTAGAAATAAAATTTACTCATGTGCTTGTAATTTAAAAGTGCATTGCCCATGCCATCACGGTGAGTAACAACATACTGTAACCACAACAATGATATCATCATATAAGAACTTGGTACTGTGTAGTAGAAATTAGATTTGGAACATAAAATGTATTGTCTTGTTGCATTTCACATACGATCACGTACATCATACATTCTAACTTCCAAAGAAAAACAATATTTTCTTAACCTCACGATTGTTTGGGGGGGGGGAACTTGCTGTGGTACATGTGTGTTACAAGTAGCCTATTGGTAGAAGCTCTCTTTGAAAGTAAAAGAGAGTAAGCTGGACTTTGTTTTGTCGACAGGCAGGGCACATTCCAAATGGTGGTTGCATTGTCATCCTGTTGGCACTCCTCTTTAGTACAAGTTCTCCCTCCCCGAGGGGTTAAGTGCTGGAGCCCAGCTGGTCCTAGGGATTTGTTTCTGCTCCTAAAGGACCCTCATTCAACGACTTGACTGTCATCGCCATGGGTGCCGCCTGAAAAATTTCATGCAAACTCCCCCTGCAAAGG